ATATAGTAGAATGCTTTTTTATTTATTAATAATTAAATTAAACCTGCCATTTAAAGGTAATATATTACGAAGGCGTAGAAGGGCCAACAAAAATTTTACAAATTTTAGCCAAAACTAACTTTGATTTTTGCAATTTCTATTCTATAATTGTAACTTGAACTTACAATTGTAACTTGAACCTACAATTGTAACTTGAACCTACAATTGTAACTTGAACCTACAATTGTAACTTGAACTTACAATTGTAACTTGAACTTACAATTGTAACTTGAACCTACAATTGTAACTTGAACCTACAATTGTAACTTGAACCTACAATTGTAACTTGAACCTACAATTGTAAGTTCAAGTTACAATTGTAAGTTCAAGTTACAATTGTAGGTTCAATAGACTGGGCCAAAAAAATCAACTATTTTTTTTTGAAAAGTATATCGAAAATATGGTTTGGGGTGACAAAAAAAAATTATTGTGAAAGTTTGAGTCCATAATATTAATATACATACAAGATTTTTTTTTCCTGGGCGAGTTTTTGTCTCAGAACTCCCAAATCATTGAGTTTAACAAAATTGACTTAAGAATATTTTTTGAAGAAAATTGAATGTTCTACAAAAAAGGTTAAATTGGAATTTCCCGTCAGATGAACCGTTTTCTTAAAATCATGCCTTAAAAATTGGTTTAGTTTTACAATTTGATCTTTTAACTTTGGAATATTCAATATTGTAATTAATGTAAAAATCAGTACCCTGAAGAAAAAAAACGATAAATATTCTTATGGAAAATCAAATGATATACAAAAAAAGTCTTTTATCATTTTTGGCTAAATTCACTCAATCAAAAGTTATTCAAGGGTAAATTTGAAGTCAAAACGAAATTTAACCTTGAATAACTTTTAATTGAGTGAATTTAGCCAAAAATGTCAAGAGGCTTTTTTTGTAAAGCATTTGATTTCCCATAAGAATATTTATCGGGTTTTTATGGGTACTGATTTTTACATGAATTACAAAATTCCAATTTAAAAGATCAAAATATAAAAGTATACCAATTTTTAAGGCATGATTTTAAGGAAACGGTCCATCTGACGGAAAATTTTACTTTAACCTTTTTTGTAGAGCATTTAATTTTCTTAAAATATTATTTTCAAGCCAATTTTGTTAAACTCAATGGTTTGGGAGTTCTGAGACAAAAACTTGCTGAGAAAAAAAAATAAAATTGCGATGATAGACCTCTTAATATACCATATTTTCGATATACTTAAAAAAAAAAAAAATAGTTGATTTTTTTGGCCCAGTCTAAGGTTCAAGTTAAAATTGTAAGTTCAAGTTACAATTGTAGGTTCAAGTTACAATTGTAGGTTCAAGTTACAATTGTAAGTTCAAGTTACAATTGTAGGTTCAAGTTACAATTGTAAGTTCAAGTTACAATTGTAGGTTCAAGTTACAATTGTAGGTTCAAGTTACAATTATAGAATAGAAATTGCAAAAATCAAAGTTAGTTTTGGCTAAAATTTGTAAAATTTTTGTTGGCCCTTCTACGCCTTCGTAATATATGGTCAACTGAATTTGTTTAGCAAATACTTCACTATGTTGCAGATATGTTACACTATGCATTTGAGCCAATACAAGTAAATTACTTGAAGTAATACAGTATGTCTACTATAAGAGTTCCCGGAGCGTTGCAAATTATTATTTATTATTATTATGTTATTTTATAACCCACAAATTAACCTTCTAATTGACATTTGACAGCCCTGATAGAATAAGGTTTATTTTTTACAAAAGAGGAGTAAAATGATTGTTCTTACCACTTTGAGGTCTCTTTTAAGGCTTGCAAGTCTCTCTGTAAGAAACACAACATTTAAAACGATTATTAATCTGTACAAACCCAAAGCACAAGAATTGTAAACAACAAAAACGCCCGCCATTGTATAATGTGCAGTGTTGCAGTGATTTTTAGTACGAGATCGAACAGACCTTGTTGTGTGGATTATGCTTATAACTTTGTTTTGATTTATTTAACGATATTAGATATTTGTTGTTTTAATTTATTAACTAAATTGTCAAAAAATACATAAATGTGACAATCATGTCAATTGAGCTTAAGCTTATAGTCTTCTATTTGCGCCATAAGTTTATAGTTTCAAAATATTGACGATTTTTTTAAAATTAAAAAAAAATAATTTTAATGATCTTTTATTTTCGGGACAAATCCAATATTTTTTGTCTGTTAAATTTCCATATTTGCCAACAATTTAAGCATCGCATATTTTTTATGAAATCTGTACTATTAATTTTAATAAAAAATAAACTTTTTTTATTTTTTTATGAAATCTGTATAATTAATTAGTATCCGTTCGAGGCTAAACATGGGTTTTCGCTTATCTTATCTCGACAGTTTTGAAAGCTAGCAAAAAGATTTTGTCAGATTTGAATTTCCTTAAAAAATTGCCTTAATATTGTCTGAACTAAAAAAGCCTACCTTCCAAAAATTATAAAAAGAATTTGGATCATTGATCGGCATGAAATTGTGCAACATTTTCCTAATTTAACCAAATATGTATCTCTAAAGATAAGCAAGATACACATGCTTCAAAAAGCCTAAACAAACTTTATACCACAAGTAAATAATAATTATAATTTTTAAACTGCAATTTTGCAATCGCTTGATAACGGTGGGCAATGCATGGCTGATGAAGTTGCGGTATCAAACGGTTCTTACTTAAAAATAAATTTTAAATATTAATCACGATTTCAATTAAAATGTACTTTTAAATTGTGGGGTGTTTTTTATTTACTTAAAAATTGCATTAAAAAAATATTTATAATCAAAACTATTAACTTAAATTTCACATTTTTATTTTTTCTAACTCGATGAATTTAAAAAAGAAACAGCGTATACATTCTAAAAATACAAAAACCCAAAATTAAACAGACCGATAAATTATTTAATTTTAAAGTAAATTGTCATTTTATACAATTGTATGACAATTTACTTTAAAATTATAGTATATTATGTATCAAGTTTGATAAACGCCATTTTATACACGAATTTAATTCAGGCACGAGTGAACTTGCGAGCGAGTGCTTAAATTAATGAGTGTATAGAAAAGTTTATAAACGAGGTGCGTACTATACTTTTTCTACGTAAAATACTTATTATTATCTAAAAATGATTTAAATCAAAAATTTGTATTGAGCGCCATCCATGAAACAATAGGGGAATCTGTGTGTCACCGTCAAATGTCACATTTTTGTATTATATAAACACAGATTATAATGGTTTTAAATCGAAATGTATTTCGGTTTGACGGTTTTTTACAGTGAAAGTAAAGAAAATGTTTTATGAGGACTTTAAGTGGAGTTCGTGCCCGAATTTAAGTTATAGTTTACTGCCGGCGAAATTAAAAGGACAGTACAATGTTCATATAAACTTCTCAAATATTGGCGTTTAGAAACTATTTAATAATTTTGTATTTTTGTATTGAGATAATAAAATAATTTTCACATTTAGTATTATTTTACAAGAAAGGCACTTTCGATTGTATGACATTTGACAACTGTCAACTAACTTAAAACTAACTTCAGCCCGTGGCTAAAAACCTGTTGCTAACTTCAGCCCACGCCATAAAGCCACAACTTGTCAATGTGTATTTAAAAGGTCACTTAGTGTCATGGAAACATGTACCTACGATAAAGGGCGTTTTAAAGATGGGAGTAGAAAATAGTATATTATGTATCAAGTTTGATAAACGCCCTTTTATACACGAATTTAATTTAGGCACGAGCGAGCTTGCGAGCGAGTGCTTAATAATGAGGGTATAGAAAAGTTTATAAACGAGGTGCATACTATACTTTTTCTACGACAAATACCTACTTATTATTATCTTAAAATGATTTAAATCAAAAATTTGTATAGAGCGCCATCTATGAAACAATAGGGGAATCTGTGTGTCACCGTCAAATATCACATTTTTGTATTTTATCAACACAGATTTTGGTTATAAATCGAAATGTATTTCTTGAAAATTGACAGTTTTTCACAGTGAAAATAAAGAAAATGTTTTATGAGGACTTTAAGTGGAGTCCGTGGCCGAATTTAAGTTATAGTTTACTGCTGGCGAAATTAAAAGGTCAGTACAATGTTCATATAAACTTTTCAAATATTGTCGTTGAGAAACTATTTAATACTTTTTTATTTTTTTATTGAGATAATAAAATAATTTTCACATTTAGTATTATTTTATAAGAAAGGCACTTTAGTTTAACGATTGTATGACATTTTACAATTGTCAACTAACTTAAAACTAACTTCAGCCCGTGACTAAAGCGCCATAAAGCCACAACTTGTCAATGTGTATTTAAAAGTTCACTTAGTGTCATGGAAACATGTACGATAAAGGGCGTTTTAAAGGTGGGAGTAGAAAATAGTATATTATGTATCAAGTTTTATAAACGCCATTTTAGTTACGAGTTTTATTAAGCACGAGTTTATAAAACGAGTTTACTTTATCTACGACGACCACAATAAAGAATTTAAATCCAATTTTATTTGTTAAACATTTGACATCTGTCAAATGTCAACGGAATTAACCTCACTTTTCTCTAATTCATAGTAAAGCTAACTTCAGTCCGTGACTAAAATGCCCAAAAGCCACTATTACTAACTTCAGCCCGTGACTAAAACACCATAAAGTCACAGCTCGTCAATGTAGGAGTAGATAAAATAATTTTTCGGTCTGTTTAATTTTGGGTTTTTGTATTTTCTTTATAAATGCTTAAAACATGTTTTAGAATGTATACGCTGTTTCTTTTTTAAATTCATCGAGTTGGAAAAAAATAAAAATGTGAGATTTAAGTTAATAGATTTCGATTATAAATATTTTTTTAATACAATTTTTACCTTGGTTTGTAATTTAATATATGAATATATCTACCTACCGCCGAACCACATTTCGACATAAATTATTTTGTCCAAACTTAATTTTCCAAGAACGTTTTTGAGAGAGAGAATTTTTAGTGATAAACCATAACTGCAGCAATACCGTGAAATCCGCAGGCAGGCATGAACTTACTAAACAGTCGAGACGAAACGGCAGCGTGTTCTATCAGATCAATAGACGTTCCAACTCCACTCAACTCCGTTATGGATTCTGCAGGAGCTCTCTGCTGTAGTCCCGACCCACTGTCCAACTTATGTATTGTCAGCGGTCGCGATTCCCTGCCATTTCCTGCAGCCATGGCCCACTTACAATCCTTATTCTTTTTATATTATATTTTCATTCGAAGAAACTTAATTTTAAAGCACTTTGTATGTACAACGGATATCTTGAATAAATAAACTTAAGTTGTTCCAATATGCAAATTTGTTGATTAATCAACAAATTCACGACGTTTCTGATAGTCCATCTAAGTGATGGAAATGTTCGGCACAAACCTGACTCAAATACACATTTAAGATTTTAAAGATTTCCACTTCTTCTCCCTTAAATAGTGTTTATAGAATACATATAGCAACACATTGCTAGCGTATGATAACAAAAAAAAATTAACTCACAAAAGTTGTAAAAGGTCCCTATAGGTATACGGGCCTTATCACCGATCGGAGGGTAAATATACCAACTGATCCAATATAATGATAATATTTATAGATTGACATTGAAGTTTACAAAATTGTTTCATATTCTTTTATTATTTAAAAACTACACCCCAAAAACATTTTTTTATTCTCAATACACGCCATTTTTGGGACATTTTGGATAAAATTGCTATTAAACATGACATTTTTTATTTATTAACTAAATTGGTTGCACATTTGTTTTACTAAAATATTGGTTAAAATGTAATTCAAATAGTTGTCCAAATATAATATATAAAATTCGCAGTAATTTTATCTTTTCCATAAATATAATAAATACTTAAAATAATATATGGATCCATTTCCAAGAAAAATATTCATTTGTCATGGTATATAACATTGTTCTTAGAAACACTTTTTAATTTATAAACTGATGATCTGACATAAATGTAAATTAATTTTCCAATTTCCATTAAGGCAATACATTATTTTATCAAAAGTTAAATTTAGTTGTAAACAATTTTTGAATGTTAAAAATGTTGCACTATGTCGTAAAAACGAAAACAAATATAATAAAAAAACAATAACCATTTTATTAAATATCAAAATTAAAATACTTGAATACAAAAAATCCGCTGTAAACGCAAAAGGTTACTTTTTTAATGATAATTAATGATAATTATCTTTAGGTTGGTACGACGAACTTTTGTTTATTCGTTAACTTTACTATGCTCCGCTCAATGATGTATAAATACGCGTAAATATTTTTCTCGCTATGTTAAAAGGCAGCGAAAGTCATTAGACTTCCGTTGCGCTTGCCATGAAAAATAGTGTATACGAGGTGTGTTCAGAAAATAACGGGAATTGTTAAATTTCGCGGATTCGGAGGGTCCGGTTGTCATAAAATTTTCTTTATTATGTTGGTATACATGCCCCCGAATTATTTTGCTTAAAAAATGAAATAAACTCTGTGAAATGTTAACAAAGGCCTATAGTGAGTCTGCTATAAGTAAAACAAGAGTTTACAAGTGGTATAAGAGTTTCCAAGATGGCCGTGAAGACGTTGAAGATGACTAACGCACATTAACAACCGATAAAAGCATGGAAAAAGTGGAAGAAATGGTTATAAACCATCAGAGAAGTCGCTGATGATGTTGGTATATCGATTGGCTCATCCCATGAAATTTTTTCGAATGTTTTGGGTATGAAACGCGTGGCAGCTAAATTTGTTCCAAAATTGTTAAATTTTGAACAAAATTTAACAATTTTAGAACAAATTTACATGTAATGATGCCCCTGCCTGCATATTCGCCAGATATGCATCTGTCTGACTTTTTCCTATTCCCAAAAATAAAGAGAACCCCAAAGGGCCGTCGTTTTGCAAGCATAGATGAGCGCATCGTTGAAAGAACTAAAGGCTATCCCAATGATCGTGTTTTAGAAGTGTTTCGAGTATTGGAAGAAGATAATATCCAATGGGGACTATTTTGAAGGCGACAACATAAATGTAGACGAATAAATAAATATTTTTTTCAAAAAACGAAAATTCCCGATATTTTCTAAACACACCTCGTATATCCCGTGACGAAAGGCAGTGATTTTCAAAGAGTATGTTACTACACTCGCTTTGCTAGTTCAGCAAACTTCACGCTCTTAAGAAATCGCCGCCTTTCTCAACTCGATATGTTATGTACTATTACATATTTAACTAAATTAATAATTACTGTTAAAAGTGACTAGGTTACATTTTAAGAATCTGAATCATTTTTTAAAGAAAATTAATAATAATTCGACGCGTTTTAAAAATGCATATCGGAGTTTAAATATCATTCAGCACCAGTAAGTGGGCGACTGAAATCTTCATATACAATGTCGTCAGATTATATGATGCGTCAGCTGTTTACACCAAAAATGAAAGTACGGTATATAAAAGGTGTCTTTTTTTTAAAGCTATGTAATCATTGGTAACTTTTTTAAGGATACATACTTGGTTAAATTAGGAAAAAGTTTCTCATTTCCATGCCGATTAATGAACTAAAAAGAAATTTCACTTAACATTTTTAGTTTTCGAGATATCGTAAAAAAGAAGAATTTGTAATTTTTATTTATATTTAAAAAACGGTTGATAGTAGACTTTTTTAATTCAGACATTATTAAGGAACTTTTTCAAAGGAAATTCAAATCTGCAGAAAATATTTTTGTTAAATTTTAAAACTTCCGAGATAAGATAAGCTATATAGGTACTCATGCTTATAAGCGGACACGCTGTATATGTGATACATATGGGGCATTTCGCAAAAAATCGACAAAGCGAAATACCTAGATGGGGTCGGGAATTTATTTCATATATTTTTTTCTTGTAGGCATTTGGGTTATAAACGAACTTCTATGTGGATGATTTATTACTGCCTTCGTTTATAATAGCTTACGGCAATACCTTTTAATTTTGCCATCAGTAAACTAGATATAACTTAAATTTTGACTCCACCCTGAGGTGCTCATAAAACATTTTCGTCACTTTCACTGTTGTTAATCCATTTTCAAGGGATACATTTTGATTTATACCACATATAAATTTGACATTTGACGGTAACACAGAATCCCAAGTTGGTTACTCTTAGGGGCGTAGCTACCGCGGTATCAGCCGTATCAATGATACGGTGCCCCCGGCTAGGGGGGCCCTCGATTGGCTCGACATGCGTAAGCAAAAAACATATTACCCACATGTTAAAAATTTGAGGCATGAAATTAAATAAATAAATAAATAATATTATTATTTAATTGTTTATACTTCGAATTATAATATATTAAATAAAAATTTTCCTGAATACCCTCCTTCCTGTTCCAACGAGGCCGTGAACTCATACGAATTGTTTCTGCCCGCACCTTTCCGCTATGCGTTGTCTGCGGCTCAGTCTGCGCATATTGTTCTGTGCAAATTAGAAATAATTATTAGCGTTACAATTATTTTAAATGACCTTTATTTTAAAATAAAAACCTTTTAAAAGATGTTGAAGAACGGTAAATGACTAAAACCAGACCAAATTTTAAAATTTGCCTGTACATAAAAAGCTATGTATGCGACATTTTGTCCCACCTAAAAATTTTGTAACCGGTAAGAAAACAAAAAATGTTGAGCTATTACAATTCTCTTAATATTTATTTTAAGCCGTTGCTATTCAATTTTTAAATATTTCCCTTTAAAAACCATTAAAAACAATATTGTTTTCTCCTTCCGCTCGTACAGTAAGAATTTTTTTTTTTGAATTTCGGTTCTAAAATCTTTATACAGGATGAAATTATCTTCAAAAATGTCCATTTAAGCAAGTATGTAAATTCAATATGTTCTTCACAAATTTTCGTTCTACTCGAAAATCTTCTAAAATAGCAGTAAATCGTATTTGGAGACTAAACTATTGATTGTAGATAACAATTTTGTAGGGAATTTTGTGCCCTACCAATTTGTTAAGAAATATTTTTCTGTATCACTGAATTTTTAAGAATTTGACACTTTGAGTCGCTCTAAAATGAAGCACCCTAATATATATATTATTTATTAAATTATAAAAAATTGGTAAATGCAAAAAAATTTTACCCAAAAAATTTTTTTGTTTGTCCAAAATGGACTTTGGTGGTGACACCCAAAAATTTTTTTGCCACAGCTTTTCCCCGTTTAAGGGCCCCTACCAGATTTTTGATACGGGGCCCCCTCGAGGCTAGCTACTTACTCTATAGTTTTATAGATGTCGATCTAAACTAATATTTAATTTTAAATCATTTAAGATAATAAGTATTTGTCATAGAAAAAGTACAACTCGTTTATAAATTTTTCTAGACACTCGTAACCTCGCTCGTGCCTAAATTAAATGGCGTTTATCAAACAATTATTTATTAAATTAAACCTTTTGTAAATACGAGTTTTTCTTCAGCCCACACAAGTAAATTATGGTAAGGGGAACATAATTAAGTATGCCTTAGAAAATTACAGAATAAGGCATCACTAAAATGTTAAAAATTTTAAACAAACTACTTGTGGCTTTAATTTTTTAGGTACGTTTAAAAATCATTTTACTTTATTTTTAGACTAATTGTCACTTTCCAGTTTAATACGACATTGTGTAACTGAGTGATGAATAGTTAACGTATGTTAATCGTATCTCATTTTGTTTTGTAATTTAACGGAGCTACGGAAATTTTCGCCAAAGTTTCATCTCATTTGCACACCAATTACGTACCTACACTTTAAGACGGGTTATATCCTTAATAATCAACTTCGTTCACTATTTATCCCCGACTTCCAATGGGAGTAAAAGCACTGACCTGCAAATATTCAAGCTGTCTATTTAATTTTATTTGCTTGATTGCGTTTATTTTTAATTACAATTTTAGTTAAGAATTTTTTCATAAAATGTTTAATTATAATTATTTATAATGATAAACTTCTTAGTAATTTACTAAAAGCCAAATTGTGTACATCCAATTTTATTAACAAAATTTCTGCAACATTTTAAATAAAATCCCTCTCTTTTTAAAACGAAAATTTTAGAAGGTATCAAATTTCTTTCTTATTTTCACAATCAAATGTTAACTTTAAAAC